ATAATAAATTTCTATTTCATATTTCTTTTGTTTCTTTCTAGGGCTTTAACACTGAGAATATATCCATCGGCAAAAGACTTTCAAGAGAATACTGATGAACTAAAGCAATATAACTTAGACAAAATGAATTTGTACTTTCAGTTTACATATTTTTAAAAATGATGAACATATTTGTAGGCAAAAGAAACACAAAGGGATTTTGGTGTGTGCTTCTGAGATGTTATGGCTTGTTTTCCTAGCTCTTGACATTTCTGGAAGGAAACTAAAATTTGATACCTTATTGTTCATCACTTTTTACCACACTTCCACAATCCCTGTTGAGAAAATTAGGTAAAGTCATAGTGATGACCAGAAAATCTAATCCTCTGTCAACTAGTCTCCTGGGCTTTAAAAGGAAAAAACAAACAAACAAACAAACATCAACGTCAGATTGTGTGATCTCAAATTAACCTCCAGGCAAAAGAGTAAATGGGGACCCATGGGTTCAGCTATCCAGCTAGACTGGCACAGGATAACCTTCCTAGGGTTACAATGGAAACAGAAGTAAAAATACAAAACCAAACGAGGAAAAACGAGGTAGCTCTTAATTAGCTAGAGACACTGGGTAAATCCAGCAATTCCAAAGTCAGCTAAAAATACACAGGATACTGGGCAAATGATCTAGAAAAAAGAATTTTACTCTCTAGGGTTTGAAGTCAGCATTTCCAAGTTGGGGCCAAGATGCTTCTCCCTGAAAATGTTATTACTTAAAAAAAAAAAGACAAACATGCAAATCTTTTTTCCACTTCAAATCAGCAAGGTTGGGGAGTTTTTTGCTTATGGTAATACATTCCAGCGCTTTCTTTGAGAATGAAAGCATTTATCTCAAAGGTTCCAGACAGTCTGGAACCCCAAAATCAGTCCTTCCCCAGGTGGCAGTTGGGTTCAGAGAAAAGAGAATTGGAAAACTCAAAAGCACAGGGCAAATCTAGGGGTTTATTATCTTTCTTCCTCAACTATGGAGCAGTCAAGAGAAATTAACTCTCCCATTTGTTACCCTTGGAACAGGCTTTAACTGATCTTTTGCCATGGATGGCTCAGATAATTGCTAATTAGTTTACTATGGAGGGAGGGCAGGGTAGAGACCAGTTGGAGCTCAAGTAATTAAGTCTATATTTTAAAAGAGAGAGAGGAGGGAGTGAGCCAGCCAGACCTTCCAGACTTGGCATATAACTTCCAGATGTTATGGGAACTACAGTGAAGGCTTTTAGACCATTATTATTATTATTTCATTTAGCCACTGAGAAATGTGTCTTTTTATTATTATATTTAAGGAGTTATACAAAGGAGGGTCAATTTATATCCATTTCTGAGTACAATGTATCTCAATGTGATCATTCCATCATTCTCCCACATCTTCCAGACCACACCTGTCCCCTTAGGTTGAGAATAATATTAGGTCATTTGCAGGAACATCGATGGACTTGGAAAAAAATTAGGTTAAGTAAGTCAGGCTTACAAAGGCATGTGTTTGCTCTCCTATGTGGAAGTTAGATCTAAATTATAAACGTATATGAAAATATAACCAGGGTATAGGTGGATTATACGAAAATTGACTAAAGCATGATCTATTCAGTGGTGTAACTGTAATGAACAATGCTCATTATGATTTAAGAAAAGGAAAATCAGGATGCTTGGGGAGGGCAAGCAGAGGAATGGAGACAAGAGGGTGGGCAAAAACAGTCATAATATTTAATGTATTTATGTGAATTAGACCATTTTCTGTAGATGGACAGAATGGAAAGGAAAGCCTCAAGACTGGTGGAAAGAAGACAGAACATGTCCACCGACTGCTGAACAAAGCCTCAGGCAGGCTACAGGTATGTTTAGCTCAATAGCGATAGCTAGCAAAAAAATAGTCACAGGGTCCTAACCCAACTGCTTCTATCCCAACACCCAGACTCAGTACATGAGCCTCAGAGGAGTTTTTTTCTGAGCTAGCTGGCTTCTACCTTGCCGGAAGAGGTTGTTTGGTTATTTCATTGCAGTTTGTTTCTGAGGAATTCTAAATTTAAAACACTAATGCAAACTTCCTATTGTGCCAGAAAAGGTTTCTAGGATTTCCATCCCTTTTAGAATAGGAGACAGGTCATTATACCAGGCAAAAAGCTGTACTTTTACTTCGATGATATAAATCAAATCCAGTTTCTTTTCCTTTTTCAAACTGGTAAACACAGGGTAAAACCGAGAGGAGTTCCAGACTCAAGGTACCAAAAATATTATAGACACACCAGCTGCGACTTCTCAAGTCCACTCTGCAAGCCTATCATTTTGAGGGCTTGTCTGGGAGCCTAGTGAAGCAAGGTAAAGATCACATCAAAGACATTTCTAGCTGTGGGAAGGCTGTTCTGGAGAAAGACATTCTGACACCTGACCCTGCCCAGGTTCTGTGACTCTAAACTCAAGCCATAATTTGAAATGCTAGAGGAAAAGAAATGCTATTTAAGGGAAAAGTTGCAGCTTCAGGACATCTCATTTTGCTTAAAAAAATGGTAGACTTTGACAAACAACTGAAAAGCAGATAGATAGATAGATAGATAGATAGATAGATAGATAGATAGATAGATAGATAGATAGATAGATAACTCTTTTGTTGTGTTGGTGATTGATCCCAGGACCTTGTCAAGGAAGGTCAGCACTTTATCACTGAACTATAATCCACTTTATCACTGAACTATAATCCCAACAATTTAAAAATATTTTTATTCTCTTGTTTTTGTTGTTGTTGTTGGTGGTGGGAGGGGCTTGAATTCAGAGCCTAGGTGCTTGCTGTCACTTAGCTATTTTTGCTCAAGGCTGGAGTTCTATTACAGAGCCATAACCCTATTTCTGAATTTTTGATGGTTAGTTGGAGATAAGAATCTCATGGGAAGTGGAGCTGTAGCTCAAGTGGTAGAGTGCTAGCCTTGAGCTGAAGAGCTGAGGGACAGCACTCAGGCCCAGAGTTCAAGCCCAACGACTGACCAAAAAAAACAAAACAAAAGAATCTCATGGACTTACTTGCCTGGGCTGAGTTTGAATTATGATCCTCAGATCTCAGTCACTTAAGTAGTTAGGATTACAGGTATGTGTGAGCCACCAAAGATCAGCTGAAAATTTTTTTGGAGAGATGAGAATATCTCAGCCTTCCTGCTATATTTTAAGGGTTTCAATTATGAATACTTCAAATAAATAATAAGCTAAATCATGAAATATGTGTTAATCTTCCAAAGACAAATTTACATATTGGCTTTATATTAAGCAAATCCATTTTAAGTACTGCTGAATCATACCTATACAAATAAACCAATCTGTAGGTTAATTCTGGCATTTCTCTCTTCTAGTATGTAGTAAGTGCACTGGAGCTAAACTGTTTGGATTTTCTAGTTCAACTAGGTTGAGTAAATTATTATCTTTCTATGCAGTTTTCTCACTTGCAGAGTTTGTAATAGCACCTCCTATTCAAACTAAATGAGTGAGTGCATCACGTTAAGCAAGAGCACAATGCCTTACATATCATAAGCACTCAGACATTTCAGTCACTCGGTGCTGACGTACTGATGGTGAAGAAAAGCAGTGAAGAAGTTGTGATAAATGAAACAAAGAAGAATTCGCAAGGAGCGAATTCTTTAGCTAATGCTTGGAGTGAAGATAGTCACTAGGAAGTTGGAGGACGGTCAGGCCTAGCAAGTGGGTTACGTGAAGACACTACAGCTGGTCCAGGGAGCTGCAGATGATTTGTTAGAGATGGATTAGAAGTGTGTTAGAAGGGATAGAAAACACAGGCAGTACTGATGGAATCTACATGATAAGATGGAGGTTTGGGGGTTGCTAGTGAACATGGGAGATTGTGTGGCTTTCCACACAATGTTTGCGATATCAAAAACCTGCAACGCCCTGAAGTGAAACACCACTATTTAATGAAGGTGTGTTGTACAAGGGTTACTAAGGGTGCCTAGGAGGGAGCTGTGACTGGAGATCATGGGATAGCCTGAGGGGCCCAGAGGTTCCACGCTGCCTGCACTAGCTCTCCAGGTGTCCTGTAGCTCCTCTGACTGGATGGCAGTTCTGGCACACAACTCTAGCATCCAGTCTTCAATGGGCAATGGGTCATGACATGGTGTGAAACTGCTTGAGGCCATGGTAAGGTACCTAGTTCAAGACCTACAACTAACCAAAAAAAACCCCCCATCATTTTCATTTCAATATGCGGTGTCCTGTAATTCTGTCTTAAAAGCACAAGCATCATGGAAAGAGTTTACTTCAGACTGTTATAAATAATTGTATTGAATTTTATACTATAGAACTCACACCAGATTACCTCTAAGTACCCCGTGCTAATTTTATTATTATATGCAAAACAGTAAAATAGCTGGGCAAAGAAAATACACAGAAGTAGGGCTGCTAGATAAAATACAAGTTGCTCAGGAAGAATAGGCCCTGGGTTCAATCCCCAAACAAGATTAAATCTGAATGTCAGATAACTTTAAATACAAGTATATTTCAAACACAACACACAGTAAAACACTGTCAATCTGAGTCAGACTTAATTGGGTACTCTACACTTTGCTAAATCTGTAGAAAAACCTTTTCTTCAGTCTATTTAAAAGGAAAATGAAGGAGTAATCACAACATAAGGCACCTACAGTAAGAAGTCACACAGAGAAGGCAAACATCTCCATCACAACCACCTAAGAATACATGGAAGAGATGGCAATTAATGTAATTCTTCAAAATTCACTACATTTGGATCCATGGACAGGTGGTTAAATGTGTTTGGAATTCACATGTCCTGATTTAATTACATACCACTCACTAGTGATGTAGCCTTGGACAAGTTACTCAAGTTAGTATGTTCAAGGAAGACGATAGTACAGGCACAAAACACCTGGAACCTAAATCCCTATAACAACTTACAATCTCATAGGGTGAGAAGGATACTTGTCACAGACAAATATTCAAATGTTTATATAATACAGTAATAGAGATATTGAATAATTTTATTTCCATGATCTATTTACACTGTACAAACACTGATGAAAAGCACCCACGAGTTCACAGTACAATATATTTACTTTAAAAATATATTCCTTTATAAAAGGTTCATAGAACACGGGCAGGTCAATATGTGACACAACTCTTAAAGCATGTCACTGATTCTGTGATACATAACAAGAATGCTTCCAAGTCCAGTCAATTTCACAATCACAGGTCACCACTGGAGTTTTAAATACATAGGTTTTAAATTAAAGCAAAACAGAACAAAAGAATTCTACAGCGGAAAATTCTGAGGCAATACGTATTAGTTCATAATTTTCAGAAATACTTGTCATAATCCACAATTTCAATTTAATCTGTTCAACAACACATTTGAACAAGTCTAGCAGTCCAAGAAATTAATTCTTCTTGTCATGGTTTTTACTTTTTCTTCTTTGCCGGTTCTCCTGCTTCTACTTTGCGCTTCTTAGCAGTATGCTCATCTTTTTCATCATCTTAAAATAGGAAAGAATTTTAATGAGTACTTTTCAAAAACCAAACATGGAAAATAGTAAAGTTTCATTAATTTTATACCCCCAAAAATCCCTCATCAACTCAGTATACACCAATAAAAACAAAAATAATTTTTATAATTATGATATTAAATGTATGTAAAATCAAGCAATATGAAATTTACTAATTGACCCTTTAGGCTGTATTAAGGTTGCTTAAAATAAGTATAGGGCAAGGTGACAGTGCAGTGGCTAATTCTTGTAATCCCAGCAACTCAGATTATGATAGGGAAGACTGAGGTTTGAGGCTAGACCAAGCAAAAAGTTAACAAGCCAGCTGTTGGTTTGTTTTTTAAGTTTAATAATCAGTAAGTCAGGTGTGGTGGTGTACACCTGTGATCTCAGCATGGAAAGCCTGGCAAAAATGCCAGATACTCTTGGAAAAATAACTAAAGCAAAAAAAGGGACAAGAGCATGCTCCAGTGGTAGAATGCCTTGTCCCAAATCACAAGACCCTGAGTTCAGAACCCAGTGCTACCCCTACATTTGTTATTTTAAAAGTCATTTTATTTCTATGAAAATCACAGTACTGCTGAAACAGTTGCTCTCTCAAACTCTACATTTACATTGCATATATTTAAATATAATCTGTACTTTTCAAGAATAGAGCACATTGCCTTCCTTTTCCAGTAAGTATCAATTGGATCATGACACCATTTAAGTGGTTACCGTCTTTTTACTTTTCTTTCTTTCTTTTTTTGTCAGACTTGGGCTTGAATTCTGGGCCTGGGTGCTGTCCCTCAGCTCTTCAGCTCAAGGCTAGCACTCTACCACTTGAGCCACAGAGCCACTTTCGACTTTTTCTGCTTATGTGGTGCTGAGGAATTGAACCCAGGGCCTCATGCATGAAAGGCAAGCACTCGACCACTGAGCCAACTTCCCAGCCCACTTTTCAATCTTTCTCACCTCCTAAATCAACTGCTCTCTCCCCAAATCCTTGTGTATTAAGTACTCAGCCAGGTGCAGAAGGCTCATGCCTGTTTCTGAGGATCACAGCTCAATGTTAACCTGGGGCAGGAAGCCTGTGAGACTCTTATCTTTAGCTACCAGAGCACAGCTGTAGCTTCAAGTGGTAGAGCTCTAGCCTTGAGTACAACAGCTCTGGGACACCACTCAGGCTCTGAGTTCAAGCTCTAGGACTGGTATATAGGTAGAATAATGTAGAAGACACTATACTTTTAAAAATTTGAGCAAGAATTTATCTTAGTACATCAGGTATACAGAAATAGAAGAGAAACATTTTCTGCTCCCCATGTAGGAAATGAGAATTAACGACTCAAAATGTTATAATTTTAAGGGTACAAAGTTATTTTGAGCCTGTTATAAATTGTAGCTCTTAATACAAATATACATATATACTCCACCATTTAAGTCACTTTACCAGCTCTTTACTTTGAGGTAGTGTCTCAATTTGCTCCTAGCTTCCTATTTGTGCTTCTTTGTATGGCTGGGTTGACAAATGCATGGCACTACACTCAGCCACTGGACAAAGCTAAGAGCCTAGCAGACTTTTTCTCAGCCTGGAATTACAACCCTCCCTCCTTCCCTACCTACCCACATTTGCCTCTCAAGTAGCTAGGATTATGACTTGAACCCAGCTTCAGTCTTGGATTTCTGAGTTTAATTATCAAGTTTGTCCTGAATTTGTTAGGAATGGTAATATATCGAAATTACTTTCTAAATCTACTACAAAGGTATTAACATACATGGAAAAGATGATCTGAGATACTTCTGCTTTAATTCTATCACATATTTCAAGTACATTTATTGATAACAAAACCACAAACTAATGAGGTTGAAAACTTCCTATCAGTGATTTGTGCAGAACTAATGCCACCTAGTGTCCCATTGAGGTACTGACTTACTATTGGCAGAAAAAAAATGCTCACTGATCTGCCTTTTGAACTTGTTTACTCTATGCCATACAGAGTAAGACATGGATATTGTAAAATACTATTACAGAGTGCAGATACTAGTACAAAGAACAATTTTTTCTATTACAGAAAAGCAACTGTTTCCACAATGGTAATCCAAGATAGATAAGCTTCAACTTATCAGTATGAATGTTCTAATGTTTTTTTTTTGGTGCTGGTGCTGGGACTTGAACTCAGGTCCTGGGTGTTGTCCCTGAAATTTTTTGCTCAAGGCCATACTGCTCTACCAGCTGAGTCACAATTTCATTTCCCGTTTTTGGTGCTTCATTGGAGATTAAGAGTCTCATGGATGTTCCTGGTTTTGAACCACAATCCTAAAATCTGTATTCAGAGTAGTTGGGATTACAGGTGTGAGTCACTGGTGCCCAGTAAATGAAATTTTAAAAAAGTGAAATAAGTAAAAATTACTAGCTACATACCTAGGCTTTTATAGTTAACGTCACCAAAGCTACTCATACTATCTTATTTATCTACTAAAACTGTCTTACTTATCCATATTTCATAGCCATTAAATAGAAGTTCTGATAAGCAGGAGTCAATAATTAATTCCCAGATCCTCCTCGAAAGTCTCTGCCCCCCGCCCCCCCACCCCCCAACGGCAGCAAATGTACAGGCAAGGCAAAATAAAACTAACTTGATAATCTAAAACACAATTTGCTGAGCATCTGTGGCTCAGGTCTATAATCTTAACTACTCAGGAGGGTGAGATCTGAGTATGGTGGTTCAAAGCCACCTGGGCAGGAAATCTTGTGTGAGACTTAGCTCTTATCATAGAAAATATTGGAAATGGCACTGTGGCTCAAATGGTAGAGTGCTAGTCTTGAGCAAAAAGAGCCCAGGGATAATGTCTACAACCAGAGTTCAAGCCCCAGGACTGGCAAAAAATAAAAACAAACCCCAAAACAGCCCCCCCCATTTAAGAATATGAAATTTCTTACATGTGATTCTTCATAAGTGATTAGTAAATAAATGTAGTGGCTAAAATTTTTTTCAAGGAAATGGAGATTTCTAATGACTTGGTGGACATGATATAAGGGTGTTTAATGGTAACAATTACTTGAAAAAAAGGAAGCCACTGTTACAAATGAAGAGTAGCCAATACCAGTACCAAAACTGAAGAATTTAGAATTATCCAGCTTTATATGGCCAAAGCTTGTGTTTTTGTCTTTTCTGCTTACATTCACATTCAATAGAGGACCATCATATGATCAGAGTAGAAATGATCTGTGTCAGCAGCAGCAGCATTAGCCATCACTTACGTAAAATTATTTTTAACTAAATTCAAAAGTTCAAGAAGATAATGCTCATCTTTTTTGGCATATAATCCATAAAGGACAAAGCTATATGAGTACCAGCATATAGCAATCTAGTTTAAATATATGTCCAGTGTGTCTTCACTGCCATTTTTCCTAGGAGAGCTATTATCTCAAACATTCTAGCTTATAAAACATCAAGAGACCAAACTTCAGCTTGCTAAGGCAAATTCCTTTTAAAATGCTGCATTTGAAACCCTATACTATGGAGCTGGGAAGGTGGCTCAGTGGTAGAGTGCTTGCTTTGCATGCATGAAGCCTTGAGTTGATTCCTCAGCACTACATAAACAGAAAAAAATCAGAAGTGGCACTGTGGCTCAAGTGGTACTGTTAGCCTCAAGCTGAAGGACAGTGCCCAGGCCCAGAGTTCAAGCCCAGGACTGGCAAAAAAAAAAAAAAAGAAAGAAAGAAAGGAAAAAAGAAACCCTGTTTGTAGCTGTTTGAATTTAGATAAAATTTAAAAGAATAAAATTAGATAATATCTAAGATTATTTTCTCTTATGTAAAATAGTAATAATCATGTGATGTGCCACTACCATATCAGGTTGCTAAAATAATAAGTTAGCAAATTAGAGCTCAGCAAGTCTTGTTTCATGACCATGGACAAATCACATAAGCTGTTTTCTACATTTCCCTATATGGTTTTTACAAGGCTCTATAAAAGACTACTTCTGTAAAAGTATTAATATTACTCAAATGCTCATTTAAGATCTCAAAAAAAATTTTTAGGGATGTATTTCATTAGTGACTTCTACTACATGGGAAATCAGTGGGGGAACTAGAAAAGATCCAAAACTGGTTAAGCACTCTTGCCAGTTTAGTTGCATTTTAAAAACAAAAAAACAAGCAAGCAAAACCTATCTCTAAGTAAAGGGGGCTAAATATAAGTAGCCTTTATATTATGTGAAGACCAGAATTCTGCTTAAAAGGCACATATTTTCTAAAAATGGTAGAGTCTAAATCACTAAGTCAAGTCATACAATAAATACTTACAAGGCATTAGTAACTACAACTTAACATACAGAAAATCAGGATCCTGCTGTCGATGTTCATAAAAGACACAGATTGATGAAAAAATAATCACACAGGTGGTAAATGAAGCAAACAGTATTAGCACATATAACATATAAAGCAGTAAATTAAGCCAGGTGCCGGTGGCACATGCCTATGCTACTCAGGAGGCTGAGATCTGAGGATCGAAGTTCAAGGCCAGCCCAGGCAGAAAAAATCCATGAGACTCATATCCAATTAACCACCAGAAAACTGGAAGTGGTGCTGTGGCTCAAGTGGTAGAGTCCTCGCCTTGAGCTGAAGAGCTGAGGGCCAGCGCTCAGGCCCAGAGTCCAAGCCCCATGACCCACAAAAAAAAAAAAAAAAAAAAAGAGTAAATTACTAGAGATTACATAGAGATTTTTCCTTTTGACTTGGATTTTGAAAGATGAATTTACTAGCTACAGGAAGAAGACATTTCAGATCAAGAAGCAATATACATCAAACGTCAGGGCACCATAGATCAATAGATCAGCACCATCTATTTATTCAGTTCCAAAAGATCTTATAAAGTAATAAAGGGAAGAAGGGATCTTAAAAATAATGGTGACAAGACAGGTGCCTGTGGCTCATGCCTGTGATCCTAGCAACTAAGGAGACTGAGATCTGAGCATCATGGTTCAAGGCCAGCCCAGGGAACAAATGTTTTTGAGACTCTTATCTCCAATTAACCAGCAAAAAGCCAGAAGTAGAGCTATGGCTCAAGTGGTAGAGCACCAGGCTGGAGCAAAAATGAACAGGGACAGTGCCCCAGGCTCTGAGTTGAAGCCTTAGTACTGGTATTACATACATACATACACACAGATATAAAATGGTGATGAGAGAAGCAGGGCCTATCACAGAAAGATCTGGCTCCATTCTGCTGCTGATGCTCAAGGCAATCAAGTTCGAATCAGATCTAACTATTAGAAACAATACTAGCTGCAAAGTGAAGGAACTGGGAAGGAGATAACAATTTGAAGGCAAAAATTACTGTGGTAGTACATCTGAGATGAAATTATGACACTATAAACACAAGTAAGAGAACTAAATCATTCTCTCTCTCTCTCTCTCTGTGATGGTACACAGGACCTCCTGCCTGTTAATAAGCAAGAGTCACAACTCCGGGGCTGGGAAGGTGGCTCAGTGGTAGAGTGGTTGCTTTGCGTGCATGAGGCCCTGGGTTCAATTCCTCAGCATCATATAAACAGAAAAAGCCAGAAGTGGTGCTGTGGCTCAAGAGGTAGAGTGCTAGCCTTGAGCTGAAGAGCTGAGGGACAACTCCCAAGCCCAGAGTTCAGGCCCCACCACAAAAAGACCAAAATTAACACCTCCAGCTCCTTGCATTGGCTACTTTTGAGTTAGTCTTACTTTATGCCCAGGCCAGCTTGGGCTATCATCTTTCTTACCGTTCCCCCTTGTCACTGGGGATGCGAAGAGCAAGCTGTGCCCAGACACTGTGCTTCCTCCATAATTGGAGTAATAGGTGCAAGCCATCCTGTCCAGCCATTGGGTGAGAGGGAGTCTCTAGGATTTCTTTTGCCAGGTTCTGGCCTCAAACTAAGCTTCCCCAATCTTGACCTCCCAAGCGCCAAGGACTACAGGCCTGTAGCACCCCTGCCTGACTCCACATTACTTCCTATGCAGTAATGCTCAGTTAAATCAAATTCAGCCCACTAATTTTAGTTTTGAAACAGACAGCTTCCATACAAACAGAACCCTTCTGCACTTCACAGCTGTAGTCACAAGCAGCCACGCATTAATCGCGCTGTTCTAATAATAATGCACTACGAATCACATTAAACTACTGGCTAAACTATCTATAGAGACTTCACTGTAAAAGAGAATATGATCTTTCTCATGAATAGGCCTGAAAGTATCCATTTATGAAGTACCTCATTCTTTCTTTTTATGTCCCTCACAAGAACCACAACTCCTACAAGACAGCCTGGCCATCCTTACCTGATTCCACCGTCTCCTCCCCTTCAGGGAGAAGCCTAGCTTTCTTAGCATTCTGTGGGGCATCGTCACCATTGTCCTCATATATGTTGGACCATTTTATTGCCATATCCAGCTCTGGAGGCGGGGCTTTCTTCTCGGTAGTGTAGGTTTCCGGAGGAGGTACATAGTTTGATTTCCATACTCTGAATTCCTTGGGAGGCTGTTAATTAAGCACAGTAAGACGCCCGGTGACGAACCGAGGTTCTTAGGATATGTTTGAGCACATGCACCTCCCTGCCGTTCGCTTAGGGTTCTGGCTTATTTGGCTCTTTATTTCCTTCCAGGTTTAAGGCACAGTTATTATTATTATTATTATTTCCACGAAAACCACAATAATTCTGTTCAGTGATAAGTCAAAGGGCTCCCTATGGGAAGAAAGCTAATAACTTTTTAGTTACCAAAGAAGAATCCAGTCCCAGACATTAGGCCGAGGCTGACCCCTTCAGGAGGCTGCAGCAGACACTGTCCGGGAGGCAGCACGGCAGGCACGTTCGGCGTCAAAGGGGAGGGGTCTCGGGGAGCAGCTGCAGCGGGGGAGGGGGCGGGGGAGTCACCACCGTTAGTCCGCGCCCCGCCGCCGGCGGGGGGGGCACCGAGCGCGGGGGCGGGAGGCTCTCCTCGCAGGGGGCGGGGCTGGGGGTCCAGTCTGACACCCACCAGGTGGGGGGGGGGGGATCGGGGCTCCCCAGGGGCTGGAGGGGGGGGCGGAGCGTCGGGGGGGGGGGTGGCTGCGTGTGCGGGGTGGGCGGCGGCCCCCGGGACGCGGTCTGGAGGCGGGGTCACGTCGGGGGGGCCGGGGCCGGGCCTCACCTCCTCGGGCGCCTTCACCACGCGCCTCTCCCAGTCGATCTGCTTGTTGAGCGGGTTGTAGAGGAAGGCGGGGCGGGCCACGCTGCGGAACAGCTCCTCGGGCCCCGGCAGGCGCTTCTCCGCCCGGCTCCCGCCGCCGCCGCCGCCGCCCGCGGACTTCGCCGGATCCGAGGTCTGGCGGCCTGTCTCCTCCGGCTCGCTGGGATCCTCCTCGCTCGAGGACTCCGAGCTGCTGCTCCCGTAAGCCGCAAAGTAGCTCAGGGGATCCTTCTCCTCCGCGGCCATGACGGCGGCGCGCGACGACCCGGGACGCGGCCGGAAGCCGGAAGTTGGGAGAGGCTGCAGGGCCCGCCCTGCGGTTGGCCCCGCCCCGTGCCTGGCAATTGGCTGGTGCTGGGCGCCCTCTGGCCGCCGCGCGGCACTACCACCCGGCTGAAGGACGGAGCCTGAGGCCCTGGCCAGCGCTTGCCGAGCAGGGGCTTCTTTTGCCCGTTCCTGAATAGCCCGAGGAAGAGGAGGTCCTGAGCCAACACGTCGACACTGACTAAAGGCTTGGAGGCGGCAAGAATCTCAGCGGGCGCCGTTGGCTCCCGCCGGTCATCCCAGCTACTCCGGAGGCTGAGATCTGAGGATCGCGGTTCAAAGCCAGCCCGGGCAGGAAAGTCTGTGAGACTCTATCTCCAATCAACCACCAGAAAACCGGAAGTGGTGCTGTGGTTCAAGTGGTAGAGCGCTAGCCTTGAGCTGAAGAGCTGAGGGACAGCGCCCAGGCCCAGAGTTCAAGCCCCACGACCAACAAACAAACAAAAAAATCTTGTCTTCCGTGGAAGTGCAATTGCCTAAAAATAAATAAGGCTCTGGGTTGGATTTCTAGCCCTTCAAGAAAACAACAATAAAACCATTAAAAAGAAAAAGAAAAGGAAAAGAATGCACTGCCAGCCCTGCCAGAAAAGTTTGTGAGACTTGGTCTGGGAAGGTGGCTCAGTGGTAGAGCGCTTGCCTCGCATGCATGAGGCCCTGGGTTCGATTCCTCAGCACCATATAAACAGAAAAAGCCAGAAGTGGTGCTGTGGCTCAAGTGGTAGAGCGCTAGCCTTAAGCTGAAGAGCTAAGGGACAGTGCCCAGGCCCAGAGTTCAGGTGCTACAACCGGACCCATCTACAAAATAACAAGCAAAGGTGGAGGTGGTAGACTAAGAATGCAATGAGGCCCTGAATGCAGTGAGCCCCATTTCTACCCGTTACAACAGCAAAAAGAAACAGACCTTTACTGGAGGCAGACTCCTCCCCCTTCCCCCTCCCCGCCCCAAAGACGCGCGCGCGCGCGCGCGCGCGCGCACACACACACACACACACACACACACACACACACACACACACACACACTCCCGTTCAAAATCGAGTTCTTTCTGGCTTGACTTCACTCAAGCGCAGGCTGAACAGTTTCTCATGGAAGTTTCCTTGGATGGTATCTCACCTCTTCTTGCTTCCTCCAAACCCTCTGGCTTGTCCCATCAGCCTCTTTTCATGTCTGCTATTTATGGATCCTAGATGTTGGTGTTTCCCAATGTAGCATGGTGCTACAAATTTGCATGGCGGTCCATCACTTTTCTTAGCATTAACTATATATGCCGCGATTCCCAAATCTAGGATCTTAATCCCAATCTTTCTAAAATATAAGATCCAATTGTTAGGTCCACCCAGGAGAAATGACCCCTTCCCTTTGTTCTCTCCCGGTCCACTGGAAGTCCCCGCTCAGCAACTGGCATGCCTGGGGTCAGTTGGGAGGTCCTCTAGGCTCCGAGGTCATTTCCTCATTCCCCTCATTAGCTGCGGCCACACCCCTTCCCCACCCTCCCTAATTTAATCTCCCCTCCCTCCATAAACTTTCTATCTCTCCCTCCCTCAGCCTGCCTTCATCTCCAGCTGGCCAGCGATTTGGTCTCTCCCTCTCCCGTTTGAACCACCGCCTGAACCGCATAGGTGTCTCCTTCCAGCAACCCTAACACCAATCTCCCCTCGCTTATAAATTTATCATAGGAACATCTGCCTGGGCCTCAATGTTCTCTTTAGTGAGGCAACCAGTACCTTATCCCATATGTAACTTGTGGCTACATTGATGTTTCCTCTCTTAGCCAATGACATAATCTTGTGGCTAGTCACCAGGGAAACCAAAGATTTTTACTCTTCCTGGGAAAGGAGAAGGGGCTGCAAAAGAAGTGGGTGTAAATGCTTAGACTTCACGTGTGGTTGCCTGTTCATTCAAGTGAAACCCACAAAACACAGCACATTCCTCTCTAGAGGTAGACATCACAGAGACAAAGACAGATCCATCTTGTTCATGCCTCTCTCCTATCCCTGAGCTTTTTTTTTTTTTGCCGAAGGTTAGCACTGTACCACTTGAGCGACAGCTCCACATTCAGCTCTTTGGTAGTTAATTGGAGAGAAAAGTCTTGCAGACTTTCCTGTCTGGGGTGGCTTCAAAGCAGGATCTTCAGATCTCAGCCTCTTGAGTAGCTACAGGTATGAGCCAGACACCTGGTTACAATTATTATTGAATAAAATTAGCATTCTTAAGATAATCATGTTTATTCTGTGGCTTTTATGACTTGTCCACTCTTCTCTTGAGTGTGACTAGGGATGGGGACATGAATCTTGTTGACAAAGCTTCCAATATTCTATATGACCAGACTACTTCTAACTTGACATTTCAAAAAGTGAGAATAAAACCTATGTTGTAGGGGTATTAGGATTTTTTTTTTTTTTGGTCGGTCGTGGGGCTTGAACTCTGGGCCTGGGCGCTGTCCCTCAGCTCTTCAGCTCAAGGCAAGCGCTCTACCACTTGAGCTACAGCGCCACTTCCGGTTTTCTGGTGGTTTATTGGAGATAGGAGTCTCACGGTCTCTCCTGCCCGGGCTGGCTTTGAACCGCGATCCTCAGATCTCAGCCTCCTGAGTAGCTAGGATTACAGGCGTGAGCCACCAGCGCCCGGCTAGGATTTTTTTTATAAAAGGATTATAAATTTGGAAACAGCAAACATGGTATTTGTCATCCAAAGCTGTGGTTCCCAAATTCTGTGGTATATGATCCCACAGTAAAATATTCAGACTTCTGCACGCAAACATTCATTTGTGATAAGTGCATGCATCCTGGAGAGTAGGATCTTTAAAAGCTCCCGTTGATTCCAAAATAAGCAACACGTTTGGAAAATACTGCAACAAAAGACAATTTCTGATAATTTAAATAATATGGCAATTCAGGGTGGGAATTTTAAGAGCAGCATTGAAGTTAGGTGTTCTTATTGGTACTTAAAATCAGTCCTCAGAGCCCTCAGATTTCAGCCTCCTGAATAGCTAGGATAACAGGTATGACCACTGGTCCACACTTTCCCTCAACATTTTAGAGAAGGATTTCAGGACAAAAAGCGAGACTATTTTAATCTGCTCCTATTTTGCCATGTTTGACCTTGCACTGTAAGTGATATGCTAACCAAAGATGAATGGTATCTTCAGAAGTGAAAACATCAATAAACACCTGGAGGAAACCTATGTGCATGTTACAAAGTGAAAGAAGCTAGACTTCAAAGGCTGCATATTGTCTGATTCTAACTACATGATATTTTGGGAAAGATAAAAAGACTGGTGTTTGCAAGGGTTGGGACAAGACGATGAACTGGTGGGGTACAGAGGACTTTAGGGCTCTACCTACCACTCTACCCCTTCAGAGGGCTAGCCTTGAATGAAAAAGCTCAGGGACAGTGCCTAAGCCCTGAGTTCAAGGCCCATGACTGACAAACAACAACAAAGGAAACAACAGCGTAACTAAGATTGGAATAAAAATCTATCAGTATTATCAACTGTAGCAAATGTACCATGTCAATGGACATATTAATATAGGAAATGGAGACAGAAAATTTGTAGTTACAGGTAACTACACCATATTTATTTTTTAAAAGCAATTAAAAAAAAGTAGTAATCCAAAAAAGTAAGGTTTTACTGCTGCATTAATGAACTTAGTAATTAATAATGAACTTACATTTTTACCATGTCAATCCAATATCCCAATTTACAGTGTTGGGAATGGCCAGTTGTAGTGTTTAAAGGGGGAAAAGTGTCAAGCACTGCTGTGCACACAATGTAATCTTAGCATTCAGGATACAGAAGCAGGAAGATTACAAATTCAAAGTCAGCCTGCTGGTATGTATGGTAAAAGTAAGACCCTGTCTCAAAAACCAAAAGAGGAATTGATTCTTTTTCCTTGGTGCTAGAACTGGGGCTTGAACTCAGAGCCTAGGCTCTGTCCCTTAGCTTTTTTACTCCAGGCTTGTGCTCTATTACTGGAGCCACACCTTCACATCCAACTTTTTTGGTGGTTGAGATAAGAGTCTCATGGACTTTTCCTACCCAGGTTGGCTTTGAACCATCCTCAGAATTCAGCCTCCTGAATAATTGGTTTACAGGCACCATTTCCTGACAGGCATAGATTTTTTTTTATATATAGGATCCCCAAACCCGATATATTTTTTTTTTTTTCAGGTAAGGGGTAGGTTTATTCATTGTTCTGGCTGGCACAAGGCCTGGAAATGAGAGCTGGGAAAGAGAGAGCTGGGAAAGAGAAGAAAGAGCTGGGAAAGAGAAGAGAAGGAAAGAGCTGAGAAAAGAGCTAGAAAAGAGAGCGTCTGGGAAAGGTGGGAAAGAGAGTTAGGAAAGAGAAGAGAGCTGGGAAAGAGAAGAGAAGGAAAGAGCTGAGAAAAGAGCTAGAAAAGAGAGCGTCTGGGAAAGGTGGGAAAGAGAGAGTTAGGAAAGAGAAGAGAAGGAAAGAGCTGAGAATGAGCTAGAAAAGAGCAGAGAGAGAGTTACCTAACAGTCTGAAAGAAAACCCAATGCTAAAACTTATAAATATAGGTGCTATGGTATATTTAAATTTTAATCTTTGTTTTCTCTCTTCTCCCTCCTTTGTCTTTGTCTTCCTTCTCACTTTTTCTCTTCCACTTCTGCCTCCTCTTCTTTTTGAGATAAGGTCCTTTTATGTATCCTAGGCTGACCTCCAACATGATCTTCCTGCCTCAGCCTCTTATGTGCTGGCATTACAAGTGTGTACCATCATGACTGACTTTGAAGTATTTTGTATAAAAAATAGCACATATAAAAAAAAGTGTGAGCCATTTGAAAATTGGACATTTTGTTTTACACTTTTCTGTTTTAGGTCCTAAAATATATCTCTCTACTGTTAAAAAAAAAACCACAAAAACTTTTATTGTTAATAGCAACTTTCCATCTCTAGCTTTTTATATAATGAAAATATATAGAACATAGATCTCAGGAGCCAGGTAGAAATTGTAATTTAAATGAAAATAATCATAGCAGAAGACATAAATGTATAAAATCACCTAGATTTTGTTATTCAACAAAAAAGATAAATCTGGCTAATGGCCTGCTTATTCCAAATAGTATCAAAAATAGACTTGATGCATATATGTATGTATATATATATATATATATATATACACACACACACACACATGTATAGCACATATAAAAAAGTAAGCCATCTGCAAACTGGACATTTTGTTTTATACATTTCTGTTTTAGGCTCCCAAAATATATCTCTATTACATGTTAATAAAACCCTTTTATTGTTAATAGCAACATGTATATGTGTATGTATATATATATATATATATATATATACACACACACATATATATATATATACATATACTCTAAGTTTAATTGTTAACTTATTAAATAAGCATAAAAAAATCCAAAGTATTTTTTAAAAATCACATCAAATTACATGCAATACACAGATATTTTTCTTTGGAATAAAGCAAAGATGTAAGTTTTAAAAAAGTAACTATTAGTAGTATTAGTAAGAAATAAATTTTGGCAAATTGAGATGTTACATGGCTAAACTATACCAGGTGTTTCTCTAGAATCAGGAGATCTTGTGAGAACAACTGGGTGAGAGATTTTTTTTTTCCTAGTACATTGGCAGTATCCCTGCAACTGCTGGATTTACTACCAAAATAACAACAGCTTATTTCTCAAAATTTACTGCCTACTAGACTGAACATTTCTAGTAAAAATGCATTGAGAAACATTATTTCCAGTGTAAAAATCTATCCCCAGTTGGAGCCAGGGTTTGTGCTTGTAATCCTAGCTACTCAGGAGGCTGAGATCTGAGGATTGCAGTTTGAAGCTGGCCTGGGGAAGGAAAGTCCATAAGACTCTTATATCCAATTAATCATCAAAAAAGCTTGGTTTAAGTAGTAGAGCACTAGCCTTGAGCAAAAAAAGCTCAGAGACAATGCCCAGACCCTGAGTTTAAACCCCAGAATCGGCACCAAAAAAAAAAAAAAAAAGAGGATATATATTATATATATTATAATATGCTATATATGTTATATATATTATATATAATATGTTATATCTTACATATTATATTGTTATATAATATATAACATTATATCTTAATTATATATTATATAATTATACATAATATATTATAATTATAGTTATATATTATATATAATTATATATTATATAAATACATATTTTATACATAATATATAACAAAATATATTATAATATATAATATAATATATAACATATTATTACATAATATATTATATAAAACATATTATAATATATATTTCCTGAGAAATGTTCTGTTAAAATTAGTCTCGCAGTATAAAAAAATTGAAAAATACTGAAATACCTAAAAAAGAAAGAAAAATACTGAAAAGGACACGACCAACATGATTTACATTCCGTTATTCCTAAAAGCAAAAATTCTATTTACAAACTATGTTTAAATTATGTTTTAAAAGACATGTATCAAATGTAAGTAAATCAATATAGCAGTTTTACAAAAAGATTACATTGTTTAAAACATTTTTTTGTCACTAGTTAAAAAATCAAAAGGCAGTCAAGTGTCACTGTCGTGAGACAGTGCGTGATCGTAAGGGAAGAAACAGCTCACTAGAGTTTCCACAAGTTCCTCCATCTTCTAACTGCAGCTCTGGTGGCAAAGGAGGTGCCCCAGGATCCCCAGGTCTAGGAAGTGTAGTTGACGAGAAGTTGCTATTTTCAGTTCTGCCTACTTCCAGGACAGGCAAATTAAGAGAAGAATCCGTAGAAAAAAAGGGAGCCGTGTTGGATTCTCCGTCTGGATGGTATGTGACGGTGGACGCTCTACGTTTTTCAGAAAAATTACTCTCATCTGAATTTGATCTAGCCAGGTTGTTTGTGGCTCCATCAGGAAAAGGCTCACAGCTGCTACATTGTAGGCCTACAATAAGATTATTCAGATGTAAATGAAAAAGGAACTAAAAAGAAATGGAGTACACTCCCACCTTGTAAGTTCATATAAATTGTTAAGCTAGTTACTGCACTTCAGAATTTATAAATTCTGTCATAATCTTTTTCAAATTTCATTTGCTTTTCTCAACAACTATACCATTGTTTGCACTTTCTAGATAAGGAAAGCATCTCAAGATTGTGAAATGAAATGCCAGAATTTAATTTAATGTATACTTGTATATTTAACTATTAAAGGACCTGGAAAAAAAGCAGTTCCTGAAATTTTTCATAAGAAACAGGTTTGGAAATAAAAGTATTTATGTATTTATGCATTCATTCAATCATTTTTGAAGGTCTACATAGATCGGGCTGGCCAAATTAATAATCCTCTTAGTCTTCCAAGTACTGGGTTTCTTGGCAACCTATCCATCTAATAGATATTCTTTAGTATTGTGATACGAAGAATATTGTCATGTGCTAAAATTCAATAAGCCAATCAATAGCAATTACTGATTCTTGTGTGTGTGTGTGGGGGGGGGGGACACGCGCACGCGCCTGCATGCACACACGCACACACACACACTGGTCTTGGGCTTGAGCTTATGATCTGGGCACTGTCAGTAAGCATTTGTATTCAAGGCTAGTGTGCTACCATTTGCGCCACAACTCTATTTTCTACTTCTTGGTAGTTGATTGGAGATAAAAGTCTCATGGACTTTCCATGCCTAGGCTACGTTTGAACTATGTCTTCACATCTCCACCTCCCAAGTAGCTAGGACTTACAGAAATGAACCAGCTGGCACCATTACTGATTCTTGAATCATAAAGTGTCAGGACTCAAAAGATTAGAGGTCATCTGAAATAGTCTCTCAATATTACTATAAAGATGAGAAAACAGATACCCAACAGGCTACTCCAGGTAACGCTCTAGGCTTTTTTTGTGGCAATGTGAGAGCTACAATTAAATAGATAATGTCCTGGTTCTCAATCAGTGACGGTGGTTATTCCCATTAAAGAACTTTTTTTATATTCAAAGGATATAGTGAACAATTAGCCTCAGAATTGAAAGATTATATGTAAGCACATGCTTTTTTTTTAAGTCGGTGTAGGGCTTAAACTCTGGGCTTGGGCGCTGTCCCTGAGCCCTTCAGCTCAAGGCTAGTGAACCATAGCGCCACCTCCAGCTTTTTCTTTTCTTCTTTTGAGTGTTTCTTGGATACTTTCATAGACTTGCCTGTCCAGGCTGGCTTTGAACCACAATCTTCAGATCTTAGCCTCCTAGGATTACAGGCATGAGCCACCAGCACCAGCCCAACTACTTTTTATAGTCAAATGGTGGAAGAAAAACTAGCAGAGTTGGACTTATTAAATACTTTATCCTGTATAACCTGTATGTGTTTTGTTCTCTGCTTTTTATAAAAAAAAAAATTATGTAGCTCAGGCTGACCTTGACCATTTAGCCTTGATCAAGATGATCATCGAGATCATCTTATCTCCTAAGTATATATCATTCTTATATGTGATATACAGTGGATTTTCCCCCAGAGGTTATCTTTCAATAGACTAACTTTAGAAACAAACCCTCGTGCATACGGGGATTTTATTTTAGTAAATGGCATTCTTGGTTTTTTTGTCAGTTGTGGGGCTTGAACTCTGGGCCTGGGCGCTATCCCTTAGCTCTTGAGCTCAAAGCAAGCTCTCTACCACTTGTGCCACAGGGACACTTCTGGTTTTCTGAGTGGTTTATTGGAGATAAGAGTCTCAAGGACTTTCTGGCTGGGCTGGCTTTGAATGGTGATCCTCAGATCTCAACCTTCTGAGTAGCTAGGATCAGGCATAAGCTACTGATGCCCGGCTAAATGGCATTCTTAAATGAGTGTTAAGTATGGCCTGTCAGTGATGTTTCATGTTTGCAAAGTAATGACATATTTTTTAAATGTAAATTGGATATAAGCCTGAAGCTTAAACTTCTGCTTTGCTTTTGTAGTTTTTTATTTTATTTTATTTTATTTATTTATTTATTTTTGGGTCCAGTCGTGGGGCCTGAACTCTGGGCCTGGGCGCTGTCCCTCAGCTCTTCAGCTCAAGGCTAGCACTCTACCACTTGAGCCACAGTGCCACTTCCGGCTTTTTTCTTTTTACTTATGTGGTGCTGGGGAATTGAACCCAGGGCCTCAGGCATGCAAGGCAAGCTCTCTACCACTGAGCCACCTTCCCAGCCCCATGCTTTTGTAGTTTTTTAAAGCACTGCTACATAAACTCTTCAATACCTGATGTACTTACCTTTGAGATATTCTAGTTTTATATTTCTGAGCCTCAATACTTCATCCGTAATCTTCTGTATCAGGAAGTTCTGTGTTTTTTCCCGTCGAATAGATTCAACAAGGGTGTCTAGTCCTTTGGGGTTTTCCTGTAAGTAGTCTAACAGTTTTCCAGCTCTTTTTCTACTTGATGTGCGGCAAGAAATTTCTTCTGTGTCTTCTCTACTGAGGATTTTTTTTGCACGTAGGTGATCAAAATGTCTCTCAGCTATGATTTTCTCACACAGGTAAACTCGCAAATTTTCTAAGGCCTAAAAGACAAAATTAAATATGTTTCAGTATTATTCTGTAACACCTATGAAAACCACACAGATGACTGATTATAAGGAATTTTAAGTGATATGAAGCATTGTTCTGAAGCCAAGAGGCTTGGAAACCTTTCAAAATGCAGATTAAGATGAAACTCCAAGCAGACACAGCAGGTCTCATACATTCCTCTTAGCTTCTACCTTGCTCTGTTCTTATTTTCATACCAGAAAAGAAAGGTCAGGCTAATGTGGGAAGGAATCAGTCAAATCTTGACAGACTGGATCCTTGGAAACAGGAAGGCCTGCTGAGGGTTGCCTTTAAGGGTAAAGACATTTTAGTTACCATTTAGTATGAAACCCAGAATTAGGGTTAGGAAGGAAACTTAGAGTGAAGTCTCATAATTCATAACTTTTGTCATATTTATTATTAAATATGCCATTTCCTGGAGAAGCCACTAAAAAGCAATCTAAAATAAAATATGTAAGTTAGACAAAGAAAAACCCCCAAACCAATAACCCTAAAAAATTTAAAAGAGCCCATAATATAGCTGCCTTTGTAATCAGAAAGACTATACTCACTGAGTCAGTCTTGGTGGAAGGGAGAAGAAAGGGGTTAGGAATAGTGAGTGTTGGAAAAAAATAAGACCAAAAAAAAAAAAGATAACAGAAAACAAGCTTAAACCTGAGAAGTACCTCAGGGAACTTAAGTAGCAGGAAATTATTGTTGGTCTTTTATTTTATTTATTCATTTATTCTAAATTTGTAACTGACACATATACATACACATTGTAAAATGCTTAAATCAGGTCCACATTGGTTTTTAATAGCATTGACAATTTGATGCCAGTGATTGTATTTGAGTTCTTCTACTTAATGTGATCTTGGGTAAATGACTTGACCTCTGTGTCTACTTCCTTCATTTGATTGTTATAAGGAATAAATTACTTCATGCAATTTGTTTAGAGAAGTGCCAGGTACTTAGTAGGTGATCAATCCAGTTAGAGATGGTAACAATGATGATTAATTCAAGTCACATGTATAAAGATGAGCCAAAGGCAGTGGAAGATTTTAGCTGCGCCCTGTACACAATGGTAGAAGGTACAGGCTTCCTGTAGTTCCTGCTTCACTAAATTCCCACATGTAATTCCTAAATTCTTAGTATCACAAAAAGCTGAACATGAGCATATAAAGATGAAAAAGAGGGCTGGAGATGTGGCTCAGTGGTAGAGTGCTTGCCTAGCTAGCATGCAGGAAGCTGTGGGTTCGTTTTCTCAGTACCACATACACAGAAAAATCTGGAAGTGGTGCTGTGGCTCAAGTGGTAGAGCACTAGCCTTGAGCAAAAGAAGCTCAGGGACAATGCCCAGGCTCTTTTTTAAGCCCCAGGACTGGCCAAAAAGAAAATAGATAAATAAATAAATAAATAATAAAGATGAAAAAGAGTTCAATCTGTATGCAAATAGATCCTAGTCTAGTTGGGGAATACACATCATACAGAAGCCAATCAGGTACTGGGAAAAACAGAGTGAACAACTAACTCTAGCTCCAGGACATGGGAAACTTACAGAGGCTATGTGTGAGTTACAGGCACATAGGTGAGTAGGAGGAGAGATATTAACAAGTCTGGGCTGCTGGGAACATAATATACATCTGGGAAGATGCTAAGGAATGAAGTTGGGAAAGAAAACTGGGGTTAGATAATGGATGGTTTTTCACAACATGCTGAAGAATATTTATTGCCCTGAAATCGCAAGAGGCCTCAAGGGTGACTAAAAGAAATACGCAACTTGCAGAAGGCAAGGGGGAACAAAATTTGGGATCTAAAGAGACCTGCAAGACTTGCTGTAATTACCTTACAAAAGATACATTGAGTGTATTTAGCTGTGAGGATGGAGAAAAGATGATATTTAAAAGATGAACTTCTTGAAAAACTTTATCATCTATATGCCATTTCTCTGATTTACACTGTGAACAACCCTTTCTCCAGTTATATCCCAAAAGTACTTCAAATTTTATGTGAAGTTTAATCTTCCCCTGTTCCTCTTCTCTGATATTCTCAATTCATTAATAAATACCACCATCCATTCAATCTTGCAATAAACCTAAAACCTATCCCCATCTCTTCCTCTTTCACTCTCCTGCCACAACTGATCACCCACCAAGTTCTGGCTCTTCACTTCATCCTTCTTCCTAGCATTGCCCATTTAGGTCCTTATCCTATCCTGTATGGACTAATAATAGAAACCTAACCACACTGCCTACTTCCTTCCTCTTTTGCATATATCTCCAGTAAGCATCTATTAGATCTTCTGTTTTTTCAAGAAAAAAAAAAAGGAAATCTAAGTGTTGTATAAATTCTAGTGTGTTTTGTTGGTAATTAAGGCTATAGTTTCTGAAACATATAAGAACAGTGGGAAAATTAAGAACATGCTCTAGAAGTAGGTCAACTTCAGTTGAAATCTTGAATCCACCACATCCTCCCATGACAGCTACTGCAAATTAATTACTCTTAATTTCAGGATCCCTATTGGTAAAATAGTGATAAAAATTAAACTTGCAAGATACCTTGGAGACTAAATGAAATAACTACTGTGAAGATGCATAGTCCCCTATGTATAGTTACTTCTAAATAATGACTATGTGATTTTGGTAGGCAAGATTCTGGGGCTGGGAAGGTGGCTCAGTGGTAGAGTGCTTGCCTCATATGCATGAGGCCCTGGGTTCGATTCCTTAGCAGCACATAAACAGAAAAAGCCAGAAGTGGTGCTGTGGCTCAAGTGGTAGAGTATTTGCTTTGACCTGAAGAGCTGAGGGACAGCACCCAGGCCTAGAGTTCAATCCCCATGACTGAAAAAAAAAAGATCTGGATAGAGATAAGGTTCATGTCTACTTACTTCTTCAGCTCAATTTATCACTATCTCTGGCCTAGAACTTGATGTGCCACCAAAACTGCTGCCTGTGACTTTACATTTGGGTTATTTTCTCTTCTTCTACCCTAAGTCCCTGTTCTTTTAGATTCAGGGCAGTGGTCATCTTCTTCAAAAAACCTTACCTGAACTCCTAGAACAAATATCCCTCTATCCATGTTGCACATTGTGCTTTCATTTCTTTTTTTACACATCTACTTCTTGTACCTCATCTGCTAATTCATCCACAGACATTTTCATTCTGTCCCATTTCTTAAAAGTTATCAATGGCCTTATTGCCAAATTGGCCACAGTTTATCATCATCCTGTTTGACTTCTCAACAGCATGGACACAGCTCCACTTTCCTTCCCTCAAACACTCAATTTTTTTTTAGTGGTTTTATTATTTGTGTGTGTGTGTGTGCGCGCGCACGGGTGTGCCAGTTCTGGACTTGGACTCAGGGCCTAGGCATTGTCATGTAGCTTTTATACTCAAAGCTGGCACTCTACCACTTGAGCCACAGTTCCACTTTTGGCTTTTTTGGGGAGCATTTAGGATTACAGGAGGAAGCCAGCAGCACCTGGGAAAACATTCTTCTGTTATGAATACCACACTTTTCTATTTTTTTCCTTATCTGAGGCTATGCCTCACCTTTTAGAACTCTCCTCTTTAAAAGGTCTTAAAATGCCTTGTTTTCTAGCTTTCAACTTCAAAGTAAACTCATTTAATCTCACACTTACAGCTGTAGTTATGATTTCCCTTTTGATTGGCTTGATTTACTACTCTGATGTTACTCTTTCCCTTAACTTTCACATTTAATTTCTTTTTTTTGGGGGGGGGGGTCTGGTCGTGGGGCCTGAACTCTGGGCTTGGGCGCTGTCCCTCACTCAGCTCTTCAGCTCAAGGCTAGCGCTCTACCACTTGAGCCACAGCGCCACTTCCGGCTTTTTTTCTTTTTGCTTATGTGGTGCTGGGGAATCGAACCCAGGGCCTCATGCATGCAAGGCAAGCGCTCTACCACTGAGCCAACTTCCCCGCCCTCACATTTATTTGATACCAAGTCCTGACACTTCTATTTCACTAGGTGCATCTAGAGTTATGCTTATGTATCTCCATTGTTTCACCCTGATTCAAATCTCTTATCTTTTACTACATAAATTCTAGAGGTCTCTTCACTTGATTCTCCTCAGTCCATAGAATATGGAGAAGGATCTTTACAAAAATGTTTGAGCAGGTGAGGACCAGGGGTGTTTTGTTCAGTGCTATAAATATTTCCCTGAGTGCTAGGGAGATGATGTTTTGGACAGATGCAAATTCATTGCACTTATTTTGTAATTTAAAATGATTATTTTGCTGGGTGCTGGTGGCTCACACCTGTAATCTTAGCTAGTTAGGAGGCTGAGATCTGAGGGTCGAGGTTCAAAGCCAGCCAGGGCAGTAAAGTCTGTGAGACTCTATCTCCAATTAACCACCAGAAAACTGGATGTTGAGCTGTGGCTCAAAGTGATAAGAGTGCTTGTCTTGAGGAGAAAAGCTCAGTGATAGTGCCTGGGCTCTGAAGCCCCATGACCACCACCACCAACAAAAAAAGATGATTTAATGTCCTGTAGAGCACATGGGCAGCAAAGATGGCGCTGAGAGGGAGTTGAGTGGGCAGAGCCCGATTTTCTTTACGTTCAGCAAGTAACTAGCCCGAGTAACCAGCCCGTGGAAGCTTAGGTGCATGATAGGGTGTGACCTTGACAGTGATTGGTTCCTCTTCCTCCCCTGTCATGCTATCCGCTCTTTTTTGCTTTTAAAAGGGCTTGCTGTGTGGTAATAAATGAGTTCCTGCTAGACTTGAGTCCCCGCTGTGTCTGATTGTCTCCCAGGCTGAGGGGAACTGGGCAACAGGTAGCAGCCCTATCCTCAGACCACGTCCGTCTTTCGTGGGACGGACAAGACGGACGAAGACCCAACAATGCCCAAGTCTCTTTATTGGTGAAATTGAGCTTCTTGAAATTATTTCTTCATTTTTGAATGGTTAAAACCAATTATATTAACCTAATACCACGTAATCCAGTATTAATTAATACAAGCCCAAACTCAACTAAAAAAGATGTTCTAAATATTAGATGAGGAAGGGGAGGATGAGATAGTAAAAAGTGGGAATTCCCAGGAAGTTTAGTGATAGCAAAGCACACACACAGTTATTGAGAGGATACTTTACTAAATCCTCAGTAAATGCCTGAAACCTCGAACAGATACACAAACACTGTGGTATTATAAAAGCCAATACACTAAACGAGATAACTATTAAATGACTAGAGAACAGGTAAGACACAGAATGTTATACACTGGAAGAAGGGATAGTTTATGCCCCTAGCTAAATGGAGTGAGTTGTCACAGAATTTCATCACATTACTTAAAATAGTACACAATTTAAAATTTGAGGATTTCTGGGATTTTCAGTTAAATAACTAACCACATGTAACTCAAACCACAGAACAAAACCACTCATCAAGGCAGACACTACAAAGGGAAAAGCAAGCAACTTTTGATGAAGGATGGTAACCGAAAAGTTCAATTTCTGATAACACAGGAGAGTAATTTGCAGGAGATAAAAACTAGATTTCCAACAGATATTAAGAAATAAAAGCTTAGCCAGGTGCTCAAGGCTCAGGCCTGTAATCCTAGTTATTCAGGAGACTGAGATCTGAGGATCACAATTCAAAGCCAGACCAAACAGCAAAGTCCATGAGACTCTTATCTCCAATTCACCACCAGGAAACCAGAAGTGGAGCTGTTACTCAAAATGAGAGTGTCAGCCTGGAGCAAAAAAGCTAAAGGACAGCATCCAGACCTTAAATTCAAACCCCAGGACCAACCGAAAAAAGCAAGCAAGCAAGCAAGCAAGCAAGCAATTTTACAGTTTCCTCAAGGTTATGGTTTTCAAATACAGGTATTAATTGGAATGGCAAAAAGGGACCGCATGAATGCATCAACAAAAGAACTACAAAAGCCTCAAAGCCAAACTTCATATCGGTATTCTGATTATTCCGTCCTGGTGGTAATCTATCAGGTTCTGTCTTAATAAGTTGTAAAATGAGAAGAGCAAGAGTCTTCCTCAGAGGTTTGTTGTGAGGATGAGGGAAAAACTGTATGACACAAAATCTGTAACATAGTAGATGTACTTCTTAAAGTTCTTGTCTTTACTGACATCTTGAATAAGACAACACTTATTTATTCTATTGTAATTGTAAATTTCCCCATCTTAACTAGAATATAAAACATTGGCCAGATCTTTTTTTTTTGTCTTAATTCTTTCAGGCCAAAGGGCATCTTCCATACAATAAGTACTCCATAAATTCCTGCTGAAAGAAAGGCACAAGTTCTAGTCACATCCCATTTCCTACTGCTAATGGGTAATACCAAGTATAAAGATGAGAACAGTGTAGTAAACCTTTTAAGGATGGGTGAGAAAGGGACTTGAGGTACATGAACATTCAAAAACTAGCTGTCAAGTTTTTTTTTGGGGGGGTCCGGTCGTGGGGCCTGAACTCTGGGCCTGGGCGCTGTCCCTCAGCTTTTCAGCTTAAGGCTAGCTCTCTACCACTTGAGCCACAGCGCCACTTCCGGCTTTTTTCTTATATGGTGCTGAGGAATCGAACTCAGGGCCTCAAGCATGCAAGGCAAGCGCTCTACCACTGAGCCACCTTCCCAGCCCCTACCTGTCAAGTTTTAAATAAGCTTTTGTGAAGTCTGGAGCTTGTGGAACATATCTGTAATCCTGGTTACTTAGGAGGCTGAGATCTGAGGATCCAGATTTGAAGCCATTCTATGAGACAGACTCTCAACCAGCAAATAGCCAGGAGTGGAACTATGGTTGAAGTGGTAATGACAACTTTGAGTGAAAAAACTAAGGGCCCAAGAGGCCCTGAGTTTGAGCGCTAGGACTGGTACAAAAAACACCCCCTCTCCTACACCAGAAGAAGGTGCTTTTGTGAAAGTACTGCAGTATTGAGTATGTAGCATTTCTGTTTTTAATTGGAGTTAATGTGAAGTACCTTAGTGGTACCATCTAAGCCCCATGTGGCAAAACAAGTAAAATATTTGCTTTTTTGCTTGTCACAAATCACACTTCAACGAAATCATTCTTTACCAATTTAAGGTTTTGTACTGCTCTGCCTCACCCAAGCAGAAGAATATAATTTAGTTCCTGAGTGTTTTTTTTTTCTTTTTTTGTCGGTCGTGGAGCCTGAACTCTGGGCCTGGGCGCTGTCCCTCAGTTCTTCAGCTCAAGGCTAGCGCTCTACTACTTGAGCCACAGCGTCCTCTGCTTATGTGGTGCTGAGGAATCGAACCCAGGGCCTCCTGCATGTGAGACAAGCACTCTACCACTGAGCCACCTTCCCAGCCCGCTACTGAGTATTTTCAACATTTGTCTGCAAATTAATTCTCAACTACAAGTGATCCCCAACCCCATTTAAATATGTGGGCGTCTGCTTATACTAGGGGAATTCCAGATTGCACTTTCAGCTGGCGAGGTCGCCCAGTTCCCTCTGCAAACCTCTCCCGTGTTTGCCCTTCTAGGATTCTTTCCCGGTCCAGCTTCGCTCCATGTTGAGATGGCAGCCTGGGTAGTTTGACTTAAGGATGAGCAGGAACCGCAACTCGCCAACAGAGCAGCTCCAAGTGAAGTGAGGGTGTGTGTGTGTGGGAGGAGGGGGGGGGGGTCGCGGGGGCCGCGTGTGGGAAACGGACAAGAAATGGCTGCGAGGAAACCTGCTGCTGAAGATCGGAGAGTCTCCGCCCGGCTTAGGTGGGTATCGTTACCATGTTGGCGTGGGGGCCATCCCCCGAGGGCCCCATGTGCAGGGACGGTGCCGGGGTCCGAGCCGCAGTCTGGGGTTCGGCTTTCCTCTCCCGCCCGCCCCGCCGGACCCGGGCCGGGCAGCGCCAGTACTCACGTCCTTCTTCACTTCCGTCAGGTCCTCCTCGGTGAGGGACGGCACGGTGGGCTCCATGGCCGAGTGGGGAAGAGGACGCCTACTTCCGGCTCTGAAGTTGGGGCTGCCCTGCCCTGACTGGGGGGGCTTCGGCCTCCGGGTCACCGGGGATCACGGACGGCGGAGCAATCGGGAGCAGACAGCCGCCCCTCGGAAAACAAAGGGACTCTGGGGGTCAAACCGAGGCGCTTCCGGCTCCGCCTCCCGGACTGGCAGCGCTCGAGACTTCTGTGTCCCAACTTGGGGTTCAGGACGCAATGACTTCCCTCTCCGAGAGGCTCGGGGCGGGGGGGAAGGGGGTGGGGGGAGGAGGGAAGCACCGCCTCCCGGCAGGGCAAGGCCTGCCCTATCTCTGTGTCAACCAATCAGCGCCAGCCTGCTTGACTCCTGTTCCCGCCTCTCCCACCTCCTCTCGTGGCGCGTTTCCGGAGTGGTTCCGCCCACTCGCCTCAGACCACGCCCTCCAAGAGACAATCCTTTGAGTGACGTGGGGGGGGAGGAGATTTGGCTTCCCAAAAAGGAATAGCTTCCGGGGGCGGGGCCGGTCGTGGCTCAGCCTAGCATGCGCGGAATGCTCGCTCAGGTGGCCTCTGGACTGGGATTGTCCGAGCCGTCGGGTTCCTCCCTCTTTTTTCCAAGGCTTTGCTTTACAATTTCCTGTTGCTGTGTTTGGGCAAGTTTTTAAGTCATTTTGATTATACACAAGCACGTACATGTATACACACATCTCCAAACGACACTATTAAATAAAATATTGATAATATCACCCAAGATTCCAACTCTTTAGCTCCCTAGGCAATATTTGCAATATCTTAGTCTACATTTTGACTTGCATAAACACTTTCCCTGGCTTATAAATGTTTGTAGTGAAGGTAGATTTATTTCATAGGTTGCTGTGAGCAAAGTTTCTTTTTTTATTGAGCTTTAAAATTTTTATCTTATTTCCTTAATGATATTATATTTTAAAATTATATTTTAAATTTGAAATTATATTTTATTGTCTTTAAATAGCCATTCAAAGGGGTTGCTATTTAGCATAACATTACCCCTTTCATTCTTCCCCAGTGTAGTTTCTTAAAAGTGCTTGGCACATGATTGCACTCAATTCATTGTTTACAATTTTAGTGTAGAGGGATGACCACTCCTGAGGTGATATAGTTACCGATGGTCATGTTACAAAACACAAGATAAATGTGGATGAGAAGCTCTGCATAGAGCTAAAACAGTTTGTTTGGACACCATGCTAAATAATCTAGGAATAAACAAGATGTCTTTTGAAACTACCAGGGTAGATTGAAATGCCAAGAGAACCAAGGACAATTTTGAGAACCTCAGTGTTTATAGGAAAGTAGCAGTCTCAAAAGAATAATGTTGCCAAAACCACACCTATGTTGTTTTCATCACAACATGGGAATTTTACTTTTTACCTATGCCATGTCTTTTTACACATTGATGAATAGTAGAAGTACAGTCTTTTCTGGTTGCTTAATCCTTCATCATCTTGGTGTAACCTAATTTACATAACCATTCATTGTTTCATTTAACAAGTATTTGTTGAATGTCAGTTATGTGCTAGGTGCTGTTGAGGTCACTGCTATAAGTGCTGTGGAAACTGTATACCACACAGATAAAAATCCCTTTCCTCTGTCTGGGAAGAGTGGCTCTAGTCTGTAATCCCAGCTACTTCAGAGGCAGAGATCCAGAAGGTTAAGGTTCAAGGCCAACCCAGGCAAACACTTTAAAAGATCCACTGGGCACTATGTTATAAATGAAATATATAACTTGTGGGTGTGGATGGGAGGGAAAAACTGGGAGACAGAAAGGGAAGGGGTGACATTGTCCAAAAAGAATTTGGGGAGGGGAAGGGAAATAACAAAATGCTGAAATAAGGATACAGGTTGACCCATTGTAACAATGAGATGTACAAGACACTATGTTGAAAACAAACTTTACAACTTGGGGAGGGGGTGAGGAGGAGTTGGAGAGGTGGGGAGGGAAGGGATGGTAGAGGAAAAACAAAGGAGGGGGTAATAATGCTTGATAGGAAATGTACTCATTACCTTACTCATGTAACTGTAACCCCTCTGTACAATATCTTTACAATAAAAAATATATATTAAAAAAGAAGAAAAGAAGGAGAAGGATTGGGATTGGGGGGAGACGGGGGAGGCTGGGAAGGGATGTGAAGGGTAAACAAAGGAGGAGGCTGCAATGCTTGGTAAGAAATGTACGCATTATCCTGCCCATGTAATTGTAACCCCTCTGTACAGTATGTTCTCAAATAAAATAAAATAAAATTAAAAAAAAAAAAGAAGAAAAAAAGAAATATACTTTTTACCTGATTTATGTAAGTGTAATCCTTTGGTACATCACCTTTATAATAACAATAAATTAAAAAAGTAACTTCAAAAGATCACCATCTTATTCTATAAAAGCTGAACATGGAAGTGAATGTCTGTCATCCTAGCTATGGGATGAGTTCAGTCCATGCTGGTCCTGCCATAAATGCAAGACTCTCTCTGAAAAATAAAAGGAAGAAGGGATGGGTGTGTGGCTCAAGTGGTAGAGCACCTGCTGGACTAGCATGAGGCCCTGAATTCAGACCCTGATTTTGAAAAAAAAAAAAGAGTTTTCTCCTGGATTTATATTTTATCATTCTAGCCTAAGATTGTTTGGGGCAAAGGAAAAGATTATTAGAAAATGTGTATGTTAAGTTATTTAACATAATAGAAGCTGACAAATGCTAAAGAAAAAGCAGAGGAGGAGGACGAAGGCTATATGTAGTGGTAAAATGTATCTAAGATAGAGTGGCAGGACTTCTGCCTGGGAGGAGGTGAGGGAGCCATGTGAGTTGGACACATAGAGAGAGCACTGACTAAAATCACAGAAAAGGTTCCAGAGTGTCTGAAGGGGATGGACTCCTCTGTGCTGCTGTAGCCCACCCTGACTTTGCTTTGAGTCATATGGATTTGTCAGCTAACAAGCCCTTTGAGACTTCTGTGAATCTATCTGAGTTCTGGCTTTCCAAGGAGCCATTTCACTGTTGTGCTAGGGGAAGGATGGGAGCAGAGGGGACACAATCGGAGAGCTGCTGTGTAATCCAGGCCCATGAAGTGGTAGTTCAGGCTAGATTGGGAGTAGGGAGGGACATTTTGAAGGGAAGTGGAGAATTGCTTTCATTTCATTTTGAATCTGAGATAACGTCTCATTATGTTGCTCAGGTTGGTCTTTTTCTTTTTTCTTTTTTTTTGGTGGTCGTGGGGTTTGAACTCTGGGCCTGGGCGCTGTCCCTCAGCTCTTCAGCATAAGGCTAGCAATCTACTACTTGAGCCACGGTGCCACTTCTGGCTTTTTCTGCTTATGTGGTACTGAGGAATCGAACCCAGAGCCTCATGCATGCAAGGCAAGCACTCTGCCACTGAGCCACCTTCCCAGCCCCTCAGGTTGGTCTTGAACTCAGGCTCAAGTCATCCTCCTACCTTCATCTCCCAAGAGCTGGAATTAGAGGGCCAGGCTGATGATTCACTGCCCCCCCCCCAACATTTTATCTACCTCTTCCTCACCTTTTCACCTTTCAAATCATCATTGTGTTTGCATAAATTCCCAGGAGGAGTACAGAGCCCTAGGGAATGGATTTTATGACTTCCTACATGTTCTCTCTGTCAGGGCTATGTTGCTCCATTTGTATGTGGGAATAAATAGTTTCACTACACCTATGTCAGCTTTGCTGATGAAGGATTTGAAATTCATCCCAGCAAATCTTTTGAATGAGAATAATATTGCAAACACTATAAACTTACTGACAAAGTAGAAGAAATATTAATACAGTGCCCCATTCCATTCTGTCATGCCTCTACTGTACATCCTTACTCTCTGTGCTCTGGGGCAGAAGTAGAAATAATGGAATAACACAGAGTGAGGCTATTGGGCTTTTTAATTTTTAATTTTTTTTGGTGGTACAGTGGTTTGAACTCAAGGGATTTATGTTTGCAGGTGCTCTATTTCTGACTCATACTTTTACTCCTTTCTTTTGCATTAGCATATGTGTGTGTATGTATGTATTTTAAAATAATTAAACATGGGATTTTTTTATTGCTGAAAGTTTAATAGTTTTCTTTTTAGATTTTATTGTCAATATTCCCAAGGCTAATTGCCTGAGTCAAAGCAGCCACATCTGAAAGCCATGTGCTTGAAGCATAATTTGTAGCAGGATTTGTGATACTCCTTCCTTCCTTTCCTTCTTACCTTTTTTCTTCCTTTTTTCCTTTCTTTCTTTCTTCCTTTTTTTGCCAGTCCTAGAGTTTGAACTCAGGGTCTGGGCTCTGTCCCTGAGCTTTTGTGCTCAAGGCTTATGCTCTAACACTTTGAGCCACAGATCTATGTCCAGTTTTTTTTTTTTTAGTCAAATGTAGATAAAAGTCTCATGGAGTTTCTTCCTCTGGCTGGCTTTGAACTCTGATCACTAGATCTCAGCCTCCTGAGTAGTTAGGATTACAGTCATGAGCCACTGGCACCTGGCAATTGTTCTTGCTTTCTAATGCATCTTATTTCCATCACTAGCAAACTGATTTCCTCTTCTCTTCTAAATCACAGCATCAGATTATAATGAAGATAAGACATATTTTTAAGAAAACAAGCCTGGCCATTCTTTACCTTGCAGTAATTCCATTCCTTAATAGCTCCCATCAGTACTTCAGCTTCTAGCTGTACCATTGGCCTCAAAGCTATCAAACAAGTGTACAGTAAAGGACCAAGCACTGATGGCTCATGCCTCTAATCTTAGTTCTTCAGGAAGCTGGCATCTGAGAATCAGGTTCAAAGTCTGGGCAGACAAATCTGAGAACCTCTCATCTCCAATTAACTAGCAAAAAGCCAGAACTGGATCTGTGGCTCAAATGGTAGAGTGCCAGCCGTAATTTTTTTTTTTTGGTCCGTCGTGGGGCTTGAACTCTGGGCCTGGGCGCTGTCCCTCAGCTCTTCAGCTCAAGGCGAGTGCTCTACCGCTTGAGCCACAGTGCCACTTCCTGTTTTCTGGTGGTTTTATTGGAGATAGGAGTCTCCAGTCTCGCCTGCCCGGGCTGGCTTTGAACCGCGATCCTCAGGTCTCAGCCTCCTGAGTAGCTAGGATTACAGGCGTGAGCCACCAGCGCCCAGCTGCCAGCCGTAATTTTAAAAAATCCAAGCAGAAGAACAAGGTCATGAATTCAAGGTACAGAACAGACAGGCAAACACCCCCTCAGGTGTTCTATTGCGGTATGAAT